ACTTCCTGCGTGCTTTATAACAGAACAGAGCACAGTTGAGGCTTATTTATTTGTTAAATACATTATAATTATATTAAAACAATGTTTGCACAAAAAGCATTTATTCACTGGTTTGGTATATTGTACTCTATAGATACAATGTACAGAGAATTGCAGTTTGCATACTTACCATCAGCACTTGTCATATTTACTACAGCAACATTTTCAAGTTCAAACAAGCACTGGAACTTATAACGAACTGGACCACGCCTACATGTAAATAAAAATTAAAAGTCAAAGAGCAACAAGTGAACAAAGTTTCCTTATGTGGGGAAGAAGGAGCCTAGTAGCCTAGTAGCCCACAACTGCTGGAGCTTATCCCGGTTTCTGTAGTATTAAGCGACTAGGAGTATGCTACTCCCCTGGATGGGATGCTAGTCCACACTATGAAACACAGTTTTATGAAAATGCCATGAATTTCTCTTGAAAACCCCATGAATCCTATTTGAGGCCATGAATTTTCCATGAAAAATGAAGTATTATATTTCATGGCCCATGAATTTCTTGAAAATAGATTTTCATGGGCCATGAAAATGGTTGGTTTTGAGGCCATTGATTTCATGGGTCATGAATTTTCCATGAAACTCACCATAATGTATTTAATGGCCCATAAATTACATGAAAACATATTTTTCATGGGTCATGAAAAAGGTTGGTTTTGAGTCACTGATTTTGTGGGTCATAAAATTTCCATGAAATTGATGTTTAAAAGATGCTTTAATATACTACAGTCATGTATGTAATCACTTAAAGTGTTTCCAACGACTGGAATTCTTAGATTATATAAAGTCTAAAAGTCCTATATATCCTGGGTATATATTTATTCTGAAATGCCAGTTTTTGAAATAACACCATCAAGGATAAGAGTTGATTTTCATTTCACACATTGGAGTGTTTTCTTGATCTTTTGCAAGTTAAGACATCATCATTACCCTGTAAATTGCATGATAAGAGCTTTGCACATTTCCTAGGGGTGTGTTAGATTGGCCATAATCCAAAATACGAATACACAGACTGATCACTACAAGTCCCTTTTATCAGGAATTTGGAGTTACCTAGGAATTGAAAATGGCTTCCAATGACTACTAGGTTAAATTCAAATTACCTAATGGAAAAAGCAGACATTATCAAAGAAGTCAGCTTACCTTTTGGAATGCTCAAAGTTCAACTGAGAAGGCGATTATATGAGAATCAATTTTTTTTTCTTCCAATGTCTTGTTTACATGTAAGCTTACAAAGCTTATATGCATGTTTGTACTCTGAATACTTCATCATTCTCATAACGAAAATCCACAATTTTCAAACTTTACAGCAATATAATTGCAGCTTAGAATCACCGTGCATTTCTGAACATGACTTCTGATTACTTTCATTGCTATAACAGGCCATTAAAATGAGTAAAAACGTTGTACTATATGTGTTTATTAAAAACTGGATCACAGATATTGGATTTCTAGCTTTTTGATTGGTTGGTTAAACGGATACAGCTAGTCTATCAGCTGATATACCTACTCTGACAAATATGAACGCAAGAGCTGAATTTTTTTCTCGGTCTGTAAGGAACAATGGCCGCCGGAGAAAATTGTTTCACGGCAGAATTGACTGAAGACAAAGTAACAGAACTGATAGAAAATGCAGCAAAGTTTGGAACGAAAAATTTAATGGGAAATGCCTGTAATTAAATGTACAACAAATGCAACTGAACAAGCACTAAAGGAAGCCTGAAACAATTTACGGGAAAATTCGAAAACCCGCAATACAAATCTGCACAAATTCGTTCAAAATGAATGAAAACCTGTTTACAACACAAGTTTAAGCTTAGCCTATTCAGTATTGTTACCTTGTGTATCGAAGAGGCTTGTCAATTCCAGCTGAACTAAGCTATTAAAATCAGCACAATCTTAAATATCGGAGAAGAAGCATACGACAGTTCGTCAAGCATTCGTGATGGTCAGGTACAATCAAAGATCACTTCACAGTGAAATTATCTTCGAAGATCACTCTTTTTCTCTCCATCCATGTAGATATTGATGTTTTCCTTTGCTTTTTACTTCAGTGAACTTGATTTCAACTGGCTCAGTTTTGCTGGTTTCAACACAATTGATTCTGTAGTCGTGCATGATTTGTTCGCCGTAACAACCCGTTCAGCTGTTCATTCAACTTGTAAAATGAATATAATGTTCAGCTCCATAATTATTTCTGATCTTCCCATTTTAAGCTACACCATTTGCACAATTTTCCAGAATACATGAAACTTTAGAAGACACAGAGCGAAGCTTAAAATTCTGTTTTGCTCTCTTTTCATCACAGGCCGCCCAAGCTAAAGATAAGAGAACAGTGTCACGGTATAAGCGGTATTGTGTTACAACGGCTCGATTTATAAGGGTTTGTATGGGAACGCAACAATTTAGAAGATATAAAATCGAATGTTTTGTGAATAAAAACGACTTACCCTGTTGCTGTGTTGTATTCTTTGTAGTTTGCCAGCTTCTCAGGCCGATTTGAGGCGATTTTGGTGAGTTATAGTTTGTGAGGTTTTCCGTTAATATATTTATTCAAGGTAGGAAACCGTATTTCAAATCCAATCACTCGAAGATCGATAAATTCCGTTAAAATGCTCAAATCGCCTCAAAACGTCTACCAGTGTAATCTCCGATCACGAATGTTCCCTCTGGTTGTTTTTTCAGCTTCCAAATGCCGTTCTAACTGCAGATAAACATTCGTCAGTTCGACACTCACGTTTCTCGATACCCGTTGGACGTTTGAACCACACACAAAATGGCGTCATGTCGACAAAATCACCCTACGTCGGGGAGGGGCATGGACGTATTGTCATCCATGCAAAATGACACTGCGGGGCCCGGAGAGGTCGATTGTCACACTGACTTTCAAATTGTAATTCAAATCTAAAAGTAAATGCCTTATTCTTCAGGCCAAACGGATTAAAAAGCAATTTCTATGCTGTTGAGTATCTCCATAGATTTAGATATTTTTCTTCTCCGCTTGCTATTTTCGAAAACATTGATTTAGTCCGATATCTGCTTTCAGATGGATGGATTGATTCCTCGCTGGAATGTGACGGTTAGCAACGTTTAGACGGGAAATTTTCAAGTGCTGGTTTCCGATTTCAAGTGACAATTGACCTCTCCGGGCCCCGCAGTGTCATTTTGCATGGATGACAATACATCCATGCCCCTCCCCGGCGTAGGGTGATTTTGTCGTTGTAACACAATACCGCTTATACCGTGACACTGTTCTCTTATCTTTAGCTTGGGCGGCCTGTGTTTTCATTCACTGTGCTAACTGAACTGGCAGACCGTGCCAGCCTTTTTGCCGCCGTTTTCATACAAATCATGCTTCATTTAGATTGAACTGAAAAATCACTCAGTCGATTGATAAAGTTTTAGAAAGTAATACTGAAGTTTAGTTTAGTGAAGTTTTTAATAAAACAATAATTATTCCATTTGCCCTTGTTAGATATGAAAGGATTATAGCCAACTCGCGCTACGTGCTCGTTGGCTATTTATCCTCTCATATCCAATGCGGCCTCATGGAATAATTGTTAAATGCATGTACACCAGCCGCCATATTGGATTTGAGATCCTGGGAACGAGGCTGATATATCCCATGATACTGTAGTAACCAAGTTCAAAAGATCGTTTTTTTTATTTGTACTTCTGAGAAACAAAGTAAGTATGGGAAATTGTAATGAATCCTTGAAGTAAATCTTCTTTAGATAGAATACTTGCATTTCACAATAGTATGCCTGATGTGATCAGTTAATTTGTGTTATCAACTGAAAGCATTGAACTTGCATAAATCCTGTCACCTTATGAATTACTCTAGCAGCTAGTCTGATCTGTCAGAGTAAGAAGTGAATATAGTTTATGAAGATCTGATTGTAACCACACAAGGTTGCTTTGTGTTTGTTGTAGCTGAGCTATTGATAGAGACAGAAAGGCTTGAAGTATACAGTCACCAGAAGGGCAATAAGCTAAAGCTTATGTTTACAAAGCTAAGTTCACTTGTAACATCAACCAACATATGTCTTTTTGATTAAAATTAATATGGAAACAATTGACCGACACTGTATTGCTATTGACAACTTGCACAACGATTTTGGTGAGTCGAATAAAGTAAGAACAGAAAATATTGATGTTTAGGTATGTTTGATGTTTTGTGCCTAGTACACTGTTTATGAATGATAGCACTTTCCCAAAAATTAAGTCTCAATTGAAAACTTCAGAGTAGCAATGTACTGAAAACCAAACAGCACCCATTTGTATGATAAGTTTTTCCAGTCAAGGTATGATTAAATTCAGTTTTGATCCAGTTACATTGCATGTGTAGATCAATTTAAATTACATTCAAAATTCATGGCAATTTAATGGAATTTTCATGGTACTTGTGTGCCTTCCCATACCCCATAAAAAAGGTGGAGAACCAAATGGGGGTTAACTTTCATGAGCCATAAAAATACCATGGAAAGGCCATGAAAACCCTCAGAGAATTTTCATGGTAAATGAAAATTTCCATATTCACAGGATATTCATGGGCCATGAATTTTGCAACCCATCAAAAACCCATGAAAGTGGACACCATGAAAATCCAGGTGTTAAATTCATGGGTCATTAAAAACCTGATGCTGTGCCCCATGAAAATTTAATGGCTTTTTCATGGTATTTCATGACCTTGTACACAATGTAGGAGATTTCATGGGCCATGAATATGGAACTTTTCAAAGGATTTTCATGGCTATTTTCATGGTACAAATCCCATGAAAATACCATTAATTTTAACCATGAAAATCCTTTGAATAAATCCACAAGATTTTCATGGGCTTTGATTTCATAGTGCCATCACAGGTTACCCCTCAGCATTTTGTCGCCGGTACCCATTTATACTCCTGGGTGGAGAGAAGCACTGTGAGTGTAAAGTATCTTGCCCAAGAACACAACAGTCAACCCGGCCAGGGCTTGAACCTGGACCACTTGGTCCGGAGTCCAGCACGCTAACCATTAGGCCACCGCATCTCACACGCGTCTCCTTATGTGACAAGACAGGAAAGATGCAGCCTAGAGCTAAGCTGTGTGCTTGTTTTCTCAATAATTAATCGTTAATTTATTTAATTATTTGATTGTGATGCCATAACTACAATAAAATTTTATTATTATAATAATATATTATATATAATATATACAATATTATATACTTACCAATATACAATATTATTTTCTGACTGAGCATTCTCAATCAAGGTCAGGTAAGGATATTGGCCATCAGGTCATTCTATTCTTACATGTCTATGGACCATGATTTTTATCTTGGTCCACAAACAACACAACATTACTAACTAGTTAAGAATTACTTCACTATGACATCACAAATAAACCAATAAAACATGACTGCATAGTCTATTAAATCAACTAAAATTTATTGTAACAAGGACTGACAAGCATTGAAATCTGACTCCAAAGAAGTCAGTTGCTTACAACCCTACATTCACCTGTTCTGAATAATATTTGCCATGACCATGCTGTCATGTAACAAGAAGGCGTGTACTTTAGATCTTGGAAGAAATGTTTCTGGATCCACCTCAACCAGGTCTCCCTCGAATACACAATTTATATCAGTTATATCCAGGACATTCTAAAACATAATTACAGGAAAAGAACAGGAAATTGCATATATACGTATTACCAGTACATCTTGAAAAACATTCAAATTACTTTTGTAAAACGTTTAGCACTTTTAGTTCACGTCTACTTTATTGTCAATAATGCAATAGTTGGGGAGGAATTTGAGTCATCATATTGCTACAAGTATATGATTGTGTATAATCAACAAATAAATATTTTAAAAAGATATATACTAGAAATACATGTAACATACATTGTATATTATGGCATTTAAGAGGCCCTGACTAGAAATTTCGCGAATCGCTGGCCAAGCTAAAAAAATCAAAAATCCTAATAATCCGGCTGAAGGACACTTTTGGAGAACTATCTTCGAAAATATTATTTTAACTTTCTGGAAATTTATACTTTTCGAGAAATTCGGAAAAATCGAAATTACAGGTTTTGCCTCATTAATTATGCAAAAATCATGATCAAAATTGACCAAGTTCAGTGCGTTTGTATCGCAACCATTTGCAGCGCCATGAAACAAAATTAAGTTTGCATAACAGCATTACTCTTCTACTTTCTAGCAATAGGAACTATGAAAGAGTTTGCAGCACTTAAGTGTATTCCGTCGCCCTTCGAAGAATTGCAATCTCAAGCACTACGTGAAAAGGCAAAAATTGATGAACTTCAGAGGCTTAAAATGCATCTTGGTATGTCCGATATCAAATCAAAATTAGCATTGTGGTAAAGTATAGTCCTTCTACTATAAGAATATGAAATAAAAATTCTGGGCAATCAAGGCTCGCACTGGCAAAAACGAAAGTTTGCTAGCCTCTGTTGTCAAATTTGCATAATGTAAATTTTTAAACAAAAATGATGATGTGGATAAGGCCCAGTTCAGACGCCGTACTTCACATGAGCCGAATCGAATCCAATGAATTTAGTTCGTGTGAGGTACGGCGTCTGAATCAATTCGGAATGGCTGGATGAATTCGGATCGGCTCAGCCGTTCTTCCCGCCTGGCTCAGCGAGAATAACGGCTGTGGACCAGCTTTGATTCAGACGCCGAACTTCACATGCATTTGGCAAATGCATGAATTATTATAATGTATTTTTCAATATAACAGCAATTTTCCCCTATTAAATTAAGTTCGGCTGAATTAAGCTCGGCGTCTGAATCAATTCAGCCGGGCTAAATTAATTTGGGTCGGCCTAAATTCGAATTTGATTCGGCTCATGTGAAGTACGGCGTCTGAACTGGGCCTAAGTTCCATTTGGAGGCTATGATTTGACTGAAAGACACCAAAAATGAGTTGGAAACATGATTTAATCTATTCTCGACTAATATGGGTTTGTGCAGGAAAGGACTGCCGAATATCACGATCGAGTTATACATTGGCTGTCTGAACACTCGCTGTTGCGTGACCAGCGATCTTAGACCGAGTCACGAATGCAGCGACAAATGTTGCAATTTTGTGTTTACATTGCAATTTTTTGAGTTTTCAGATAAGAATGTCCTTTTGCAGTTTTGCTTCCCTTGTTGGCGGAGCTTGTGGTCCAAGTCCTGAAAATCCAAACGCAGTGCAGTTTGTTGATTTGAAAAACTGTGATAGGGACGTGAATGCACACCTGAAATTGTGTAATATCTTGACGGATATCGAAAGCATCGATAGCGAAAGGAAATTATTACTTGCCCGTGCAGGTGAGTAGCTTTTTACTGTTTAATACTAGAACTGATAGAAGCTCTATCTGAAACACAGGGATTTTTGTCGCACAAGAATGCCAGCTGCACATGACAGTGTGCCCCAAACATAGGGACGCATACGGTATTCGCTGGCGAACTGGCAAGACAAGATGCTGCGTCCCAACAGAAGTTGCAGGCCACAAGTCAGTGTCCAACCGAGGAGATCGCGGGATAGACAGCAGGCAATCTTGTTTTATCTTTCAAGAAACGGGAATTCTTGTTCCAGCTGGGTCACGTAAGTAAAAAAAAATCATGAGTACTTGACTTAGTTTCAGCCGGGTTTTCAGTAGTCTCCGCGCAGCTGTTATTTGTCTTGTCACGCAACGCGCTCCTCCCCACTAACTAGTGGGGAGGAGCGCGTTGCGTGACGTGACAAATAACGGCTGCGCAGGAGACTAGGTTTTTTGTTCAGTAAAACTGATCTTCAAAATAGAGACGAGTAAATCCTCCTACTCTAAACAGAATGGGCTGGTTAGATTATAGCCTGCGTGGCATGCGTAGAAAGACTGTTACCAGATTATTACCGTTGTTACCCTGCCCTACAGTCACGCAATACTATACTGCCCTTGGTGAGCACACCGGGGCCTATTTTAAATTTTATGTTTCCCCTTTTTTGAAGAAGAAGAAGAGATGGTAGACAATTATTTCCCTTAAAATTTAAACCGGAAAATTATTCTGCTTTTTTTTTATAAGGGTGATGGGAGGGGAGGGGATGGTGTTAGATTTCTTTTATAGCCCTGGCCCTGAGAAAGACTAGTACTATAGTTTAAATATAGGCCAATAAACCTACCATTTTGCCGTTGTGCCAGCCTTGCAATCTCAGATGTCATAAAACTAAGGGGTTTGTTTATTCCAAAGGCATTTAATCCGGGATACATGTATACGTTCAAAGGGCGTTAGGGTATTTATTGAGGGATGTATGTGAACGAAACGTCAGCCCCCGCTGTTTCGAATTGTTTTGGTAGGGAAAGGGGTGGAGGTTGAGCGAGGAAGGGGGTGGATTAGTTTCGACCACAATTTAAAAACGTAACCGTGTTGGTTCGTGAGCCTGCATCGGTTCACCTATTGATCGTAGAGAGTCAGTTACATAAGGCCGGGAAATAAACGTAGGGGTGTTTATTTAAACTCGACCTGATATTTGGGGCCCGGCGTTTAATTATATTGAAAGATGAGTGATTCTTTGTTTATAATTTGCTAATAAATGTTTCCCAATTTCTTTCATGCAGCCATTTGCAGGCAATGTAGAGAACATATTGGGAAAATAATAGCGTTGAAAAAGGAATCTGAATCATCAGAGTAAGCAAGTGCTGAGCGGCAAGGTGCCACTCCCCTCGCTCCTCCTCAGTATCCTCCCTCTATTGTGGAACCACCCATGGCACAAGTAGAATTACCCCTGGTAATTATGTTTTATGTGTTGTTAATCTGTATATTGCCCCTATTATTTTACACACGACACTTAATTCCTTGTATTTCTGTCTCTTTTTTTCAATAGGAAACAGAAGCAAGCAGTACCGAGGACATAACTGAGCGTATCAGACACCTTTCGCTTGGCAACAGCTATGTCCTTGGCTCCTCCGAAACAACAAGTATGTCCTCTTCTCTTGGTGGGGAAGTGGTTCTTGGGGTAATAATCCACTAAAACTACTAAATGCTTTCCTTCAAGAGTGTGATGTGAAAATGATTGACAGCCCGCATCAGCTGGAATGGAATAAGTCTTCTGAAAGAACGAAGAGAAGATATATCCAACAAACCAGAGACGTCCTTGTTGCAGTAATAAAAGTGGTGTCACCGGAAAACGCAGGATACCTTTGGACGGCTCTTCAGGCATCAATGGCTGTAAATGATGCGCTTGGTGTGGAGGGAATATTGCACCCGTCACAGCGTGTGTACCTTGAGGCAATAGCAGAAACGTACAAGAATGCTAGCAGCTGGGACACGCGGCGACAAATTATGTCCATTATGACTGGTATTGCAAGTTTGAATGCTATCCGAGAGTACATCCCCGGTCTGTCACGGTACAGGTACACAGTGGCAAACTTACATCGACTTCAACACGGAATAGGAACACCCGTGCCTAGCCAGAATACAGGGAGGCTTCAGATAGACGAGGTGCAGCTTGATCACTTTTTGCACTTCATCACAAGTCCCCACATTGTGCAAGACCTGCCTTTTGGCCAGAAGTGTCTGCATCTGTCGAACGGCAATGTACTGGAAGTGCCAAGTGTCATTCGAACTCTGATACCGCAGCGAATAGCTTCTCAGTACGAACAGTATTGCAAAGAAGTCGGTTTTATTCCCTTCAGCCAAAGAACAATGCTTCGGATATTGCACAATGGCGAGAAAGAGCCTCCAAGGATTGGACCATTTTGCAGCTAATGGTGCTTCAGCATTTGATGAGCTTAATACCCTCCTGAATCAGTATTCGTACCTGACGACAGTTGAGTCTCTAGAGAGATGGCATGGAACACTGAAGAATGCCAAACTGTACCTAAAGAAAGACTTCAAGGTAAATGAGTTGTAAAGTAACCTCCAGACTGTATAGCTTGTCCACCCTTTTATTATCTCTCCTTCTACTAACTACCGATCGGTTTAAAAAACAATCACCGCCTAATGACTGTAGGTACATGTATATTACCATGTCATTATTAACACAGATTTAGTCAAA